TTTTTTATTTAAGGATGTTAACTTTATCATTTTTTAAATAAGAATGTCAACTTTTAATTTTTTTTTATTTAAGGATATCAACTTTTAACTTTTTTTATTTAAGGATATCAACTTTCAACTTTTTTTATTTAAGAATGTGAACTTTTAATTTTTTCTATTTAAAGATTAATGGGTGGTGATGCTGACGTCAACTAACATATTTTTTTAGGTTAAATACCCAAATTGGTTCCTCAACTTTTTTTTTTTAACCAATTCATCCTTGAACTTTAGAAAGTATCAAAAACATCCATCAACTTCAATTTTTAATTAATAAAATTATTTCTTAATTCATGGAAGAATTAATTAACTTTTATTTAATTTTATTAAATGGTAGGTGGGACTAATTAAATGGGAAAATATATTAATTGTTTTAATTTTTAAATATAAATAAAGTAAAATTAAGAATTAAAGTAGTTTTTAAATTATTTAAAATTAAAAAAATCCACATAATCATTTTTTATATGATGGATTTTCCACCTAATATTGAAAATGTAAAATAGTCAATCACTTAGCGAAAAAAATTAGCTACATCAACATTTAACTGACGGAAAGATGAAATTGAAAATTGAAGTTGAAGAACGTTTTTGGTACTTTCTAAAGTTTAAGAATGAATTGGTTAAAAAATAAAAGTTGAGGGACTAATTTACGTATTTAACCTAAAAAAAATGTTAGTCGACGTAAGTATCACAACCAATTAATCCTTAAATAGAAAAAATTGAAAGTTGACATCCTTAAATAGAAAAAGTTGAAAATTGACATCCTTAAATAGAAAAAAATTAAAAGTTGACATTCTTATTTAGAAAATGACAAAATTAATATCCTTAAATAAAAAAAATACAAAGTTGGAATCCTTATTTGCACCTTTACTCAAGTAATGTTATTAAATTGATTGTATCCTTTTAAATTATAAAAGGTAATATAAATACCAACTACCTATTGGTTCGAGTGGAAAGATCTTGGTTCTCCGTAAATAAGATCTCAATTCAACTCTTAGAGCATGTTTGGTGAAGTTTGTAAAAGCTTTTACTTTTTTTGTACTGTTTATGAGTAATAAGTTTAAATTTTTATTAGAAGGAAAATTTAAAAGTTGCTTTTAAAAATAGAAAAAAGTGAGTAAAAAAGAAGTAAAAAGGAAGTTTATAAAAAGCACAAATTTGAAACTTTTCTAAATTTACTATTTAATGTCTTTTTAAGGTTAAAAAGAAGTTAAAAAATGTAAGTTTTTAAGAAAAAAATTTAAATTTATGAAACATGAATAGTGTTAAAAAAGCAACTCTTACAAGTTTCACTAAACATGTCCTTATAAATAGAGAAGCAGGCATCAGGAGAGCTTTTTCTTGTGAGGTCTGACCCAACTCAACTCTAAATTAATCAGGGATTAATATGGCTTCTAGATACTAAAAAGTTAGTAAAAAGAAATACATAAAGTCATACAATTAAATTCATAACTTCAACATATTTCTCTCTATGGGTTGATGTCAACTTCTATATCCAACTTGACTAAAGAAGCTCTTCGGAGTATTTTTTGTACTTTTATTAATAAATTTTTATTTATTTATTTATATTTATGAAATATTAGGAATTAGTTACTTGACTAATAAATAATTAAAATTCTTCTAAAAGCAATGCCAATATGGCAGTAATTAAGCTAGCAAAAGACAAAAAATGAATTAATTCAATATTTTGAGGGAAATTAATCTTTAAGTTTGCAACATGTTATTATTTTAAAATTAAATTTATTGTATAATATTAATTTAAAATTATATCATTTTAATAAAATACTATGAAAGAAAAGACTAAAAATAATCTAAATCATGCTTCAAAATAAAATGTTTTAGTTTTTGTAAATAAAATTTATTAAAACGATATAATTCTAAAGTGATTTGTTTTTATTTTTTAGAACCTAAACCACACGAACACTAATTTTTTATTATATAATATAATTATCTATTCTCTTAACCACAAATTTAATTCAAATTCTTAGTTTCTACGTAAAAAGAGAGTATGTATAATCAACAAGAAATTATTATTATTTTTTTTTTATGTGAAGCCTAATTAGAAAAAGTGTGGCTATATTAACCACCATTCGTGCATGGCAAGTGGCCTTGCAAGGCAGCCAATCCTTCCCCGTTGCTTTCTTCTCACTTCATGGTTATAAGATAACATTAATAGATGACAGCATGTATCATAATTTATTCGAGTGGAAAACCAAACAGATTCATTCTCTTCAAAACTTAAGAAAAAATTAAGTTTCATATACACAATCAATGTTCACAAGACTTGGAATTTTGTTCCATTTTCTAGTATGTTCTCCATCAACCGTTTTGAACGGTTAATTTCCCTCTCAAGTCAAGGTTGGTGCAAAACAAATATATATAAAAAAATAATTAATACATATTTTGGTTTAATATATTCACCAACATCTATAGGTCCAGCTATTAAAATTTACAATTAAAAGTTTTTAAACCTTTAATTAAATTTAAAAATAATAATTTTTAAATAAATACATTATAAAATATGTTAAATTAAAAAGTATATCAATTATTATATATATTAATCTCAAAACTTCAACTATAGTGTTATTTAAATAATAAATATATAACTTAAAAATAATATTTATTTCAGAATATTAATCACCACAAAACCAAAAATCAGATCTGCTTTTTTTTTTTTTGGTACATATCAGATCTGCTTTTTGCTGCTGAGAGATTTCCTCAATGATGATTTGTTCATGACTCGAAGGAAGGCAAAGGGTGGCCCAAATTAATCCTCAAAATCCATCTCCAGATCGCAGAAAGCTGGCCTTCAGTTTAGGATCCCAGTTACCCACCGGACAAGCATCCCCCTTTTCCATCCTTTTTATTACACAAAAATGGCCTTCTTTGAATCAAACTAAAAACCAAATCTCATACCAACAATTAAAATAGTTTAATGATAATTATTTTTTGATAAAACTTTATTTAAAAATTATGAGTTTGACTCACATAATTTATTAATAAAATAAATTATTAAAAAGTAGATTTATAGATAAAAGATAATTGACTCTCATTGTAAATACAGTTTTAGCCATAATTCTTTTATTTTTATTAATTTAAACAAAAAAAAAAAAAAGGCAAAGAAAACTTCCCAAAAGTCCACGTAGGATGCTTTGTGGACTTATTTCGGCTGGAGACAAAATTGATGAAAAACATGAAGATATCATAATTGGCATGCATGTCCAATTTCACCCTTTTCTAATTTGCCCTCAATTTTCTTCCTTTCATTACGACTACTTTTGAATCATATGCTACCATTATATCAACTAGTACATTTATCTATTGGTTACAGCTTACAGCACATAATGACATTTATCAAAAATAAGGTTGCATTCAATAGGCCTATGACTTTCATGTCCACAATGTTTACTTCCCTGTTTTGAATGTCTATATAAATCCCATGCCCACGAAACTTCTTTCTTGTTTCTCCCCCATCCAAAGATTTTGGGCAATTAAATGTAATCATAATAACAATTCCCATTTGCTTTTTTCTCGGAACAAATCAACTCTATAATTATACCTTCATGCACTAAGGTTTGCTTCCATCTTTCTTTTTTGTTTTTTCTGGGCATTCCCATTTCTATAATATCAACACGATTTAAACCAATTAGTCCCTTCGTCTTTATCTTGTTGTATTACTTATTAAATTAAGATATTTTTATTTAGTTGCCTTACATTCTACTTATAGGCGACATTAAATATTTGTATTTCAATTTTATCCTATAATTCTAACATAACCACAATAAAGATGAAGAGTTCCTTATATTAAGAAAAAATAAATATAATTTTCACTAAGAATTTATCCAAAAAGGAATCTGCACAAATATGTTAAGTTGACTTCTACACAAGTTAAAAGAATTTTGTTGGATAAACTATTGACAAATACACCATGGTTACATGAGTTATAGTATTAACTTTGGCCTACGTACGAACCAAAAAAAAAAAAAAAAAACTATTAACTTTGGCCTTAAGTAAACATTACATCTAAGTACATGGGCTTTTCTGGAAGAATTGTACGGTGTAGTTGGGCTCAATAATCGCCAAAATAAATCATGAGTTCAAAGGATAAATCAGAAGTTATTTCCAGAAGAGACATACGGGGTTAGAATTTAGAACATCGATTTCCCGGCTTTTGTTTTGCATGGTTGTGCGAGTGATATTGGACGCTGTTGCAGATCTCATTATTTTTTTTTTTTTTTGGCTATCTGGAGTACTTATCTTTAATAAGTAATAACTATTTAATAGATTTTCTTATTATAATATTCTTTTTATCTTAAAATAATATTTTTTTTATTTTATCTTCATATTTTGTATTTGAAGATAATTTTTATTTTTTTACTTATTTTATCTTTTAAAAATAAATAAAAATAAATGAACTTTTTTATAATATAATAAATAATTAAAGTTAAAAAATAATCATAAGATTAAAATAAGAAAAAAATATTTATTTTTCTTGAAATATAACAAAAAAAAACTATTATTCTTAGATAAGTTTTAAATAAAAAACGTTAATTATTTTAGAAAGAAGGGAGTATATTCTATAATAAAGTTTTTTAGAGATGTCTTAATAATTAAGAATTTAAATTTTTATATTAGAAATTTTATATTCAAATCTTAAAATTGATGGGGTGGGAAGGGGCTTGGATATGAAGGGTCATCCCTTCTTTTATAGTTCATCATCTAATATATCTAAAAAAAAAAATTCTATAATAATTTTTAATTTAATAAGAGTAAAACAAAAATAAAAGTTTTAAATGCCTTTATAAGAATAAAAAGCAAACAACTAATTTGGAACATCACTAATTAAAAAATAAAAATGTTAAACTAGAAGAGTATAATAAAAGAGAAGGTCTTTTTTTTCTTCTTCTTCTCTTTTTGGGTTTTTATACAATGAAAATGCCCCTAAATCAATTTCCCAAGTGATCTTCAAAGCACGCCCCTATATTGATCTTGTGCATTCAAATAATCTTGAATGCTGACACATCAAAATTTCCCCCACTAATTTGTAATTACTATCTTTTGGCCCAGCCTAATTTACACTAAGCAGATTGAATACAAGAAATTGTCTTTCAAGGTTGAGATGTAACAGGGATGATAATTTCTTGATATGCATCAATCCACTTTGTAAAAGGGCTTAATCACTGGACATCCTGAACCAACTCCCTGCACTAACTCAATTTATAAATCCATAAAATGAGTATCATTACCACCACAACAAAAAGGAAAGTAGAAAATTATAGTAATGAGAAGAAATAGACGTCCCATTGCAAACCTAACTCTCATTACATGGTGTAGGTGAGGTGCCATCTAATCCAGCCTTCTTTCCACATCAAACAAAAGGATTTTCCTTCAATGAGAAACAAAAAAGAAAGGCAGCTCAAAGAAATGTACATAATCTCTTTATGAATGTTTTCTGCCAAGCAGGCCCGTCCTTGTATTTTCAAACATCAATATTTCAAACCTAATGGTGCGGCATCTGATTGCTAGGATATGCAATATCAACTGCATATATATTTCATCAAGATTAGGCCAAGATTAAACACGTCCAATGAGGCCATCGCAAACAAACTTGTGCATCCAATTGCATGCTTCGAATAATTGTAAGTTGAGATGCAGACAATCTCTGCCTGGGGATTTCTTCTATTGGCGTAATAAGTTGTTTCACGTTCCATGCGCATCCCTGTTTAAAGGGTGTGCCAAAAAATGGTTACAGTATTTCAACCTCTGCAGAAGTCTATCAGTAGCATCCATGGACAAGTGGATAAGGAAATTCTCTCAAGGATTCCACTGCACAAAAAATGTTAACCGAATATGATTTCCAACAAATGTATGCTGTGATCTAAACAACATCTTCAGGAACTTAAGTTCTGAAGGAGCTGGACAAAAAGCACTAAATGTTGAGATTCATTCAAGCAATCAACCGCGACCAATATTTTCTACTTTGAATGTATTCCTTCTCTCAGGAACTTCCATTAGTCACACTGAAAGCACATTTTTGCTTCCAGCCTTATAATGTTCATCTTTCTAACTACTACAGCTGCATGAAGCTCCATTTTCCATCTAATTCAAAGGCCCTGGCCCCCAAAAAAAAAAAAAAAAAAAATCTAATTCATAAGCCATATCTATTCAACAGAGAACACAACAGTCAGCTCCCCTATCAAGACTAGATTACGAATACTTCATAGATGTTTGAGAGATACAGAGCAGAGCTCCCACTTCCTTTTGAAATTGTAGCAAATAGAATGAGACTGTGACAGATACTTAATCATGGTTGGGCTAAAGCTTGAATGATGACATAAAATGATGGGGCAATACTTAGAGAGTGATGAATGATTGGTAAGATGACTGTAGCATGTTTATGAATGACCTAAGCATGACTGCACAAATAGGTTATACAGAACTAATATTATCCAGATAAGAATAGAATAGAAAAATAAAAATTTCTCAAATATGTACTCTTAATATATCCTGGTATGGTCTTGCTCATTTTTAAAGCAAGCAAGCAAGCAATATCCACCTTCATTATATCATTTAAAATGGATAGCTTCCTGATTTCAACATCTGTTGAGTTACCAAGAACAGACCACGACAAGTTCTGTTCCAAATTTCTTCCAAAGAAATGGATAAGTTATGAAAATCAAGCTCACTACATTTTTTCATTTTGTACTCCATCTGAGAGTCCATTAGCACCAACAGAAAGAAACCTAAGGATGAAAAGCATTGCAGTGGTGGAATAAATCTAGGTGACAGTAGCAGTAACCCAGCAATGAGGGAAACTAGTAGATAGTTAGTCAAATCCTTTTTGAAAAACTACCTCACAAATAAACCATATTCCATGTTCTATAAGATGAGCTGTTGCTTTCTTAGAACAATAACTTTATTAACTGTGGTCCAACCAGTTAGTAGATCCTATGTTATATAGATTTAATACAAAAGAAAACAATCATATTACCAAAGGTACTGAATTTCTAGGAATGAATATCCAAAGCATAAGCAGAAATTGACATAGTACAATCAATCAACCCTAGATCAAGCATGTCAATCTCAATCACCATTAGCTCTTGCGACACAGCAGGATATAACATACAAGATGGCCTTATACTTGGCATGCTGTTATCTGGGGTTTGAGGGTCAGAAAAGTTATTTTAATGATAGTAGCAATGAAATCAACTACAGTAATTTACACTGTCAGAAACTGGTGGCTGTTTCAAAGAATCAAAGCAATTCAATATCCTACTTTCCAAAGCATTCCAAGTTCTTAACCTATGGCTTTGAAGCTCCATAATCCTTAGTCTTGAACCTTAAGAAGATATTAATTTAGTACTCACTAAAGAACTTAAATACAATCCTAGCAACTATGACTTATCATACCACCAAAACATCGACATGTTGGAAGGAACCCCAAGTCAAAAGATGAATAATTTCAGTTCTGATCTTGAATGAAATGAAAAAAGATGGTGGAATCCTGGTATGGGAACTAATTAACCACATACCAAGATATGCACATTTTAAAGTTGGACATAATACTTGAAAATATGAAGGAATATAGTAATCAAACATGTGGGGCTGAACATTTGAACACAGATGTAGCATCTTGCCAAAAAAATCTGTCCTACATGTTCGTTCATCTAAGTAATCTAACATGTAACTATATGTCTGTTTGTGTATGTGTGTGTGAACATGCATGCATATGTTTTCTTGTTCCCATGATGACAAAAAATAATACTCCCTCTGTTCGTATTTATCTATCCATATAACTAACTTTCAACTACACTTGCATGTAACTTTAGGTGATGTTTTGATATAGCATATGAATGACAATTGAAAATTTTTTTTGTTGCAATACATAGTTCTTGTTGAGTAGTTTCACTTGATAAAAAACAATTTTCAATTGTTATTCATATGCTATATAAAAGCATTATCTAAAGTTATGAGCAGAGGTAGTTGAGAATTAGTTATATGGACAAATAAATAGGAAGGAGTACAAATTAATAAAATATTCGGCAATGTTATTAAATTAACTTAAAACATTAGGATATGCATACAGGTATTGACAAGGACACCAAAAATGCAGATAATAGTATGGCCCAATACATCATTTTGTTCAAAACATGATTCAACCATTTTCTTTTTCTTTTTTAAAAAGACTATATTGCCAATGAGGCTTTGATATATTGAATGGTGAATGGTGAATGCTGAAAATGACCACGCATGTGGTCATATTTTCCTAAAGCACAATGATGACAGCTAAAGATATACGCACAACTTGAAATTATAGGTAATAATAGAACATCGTTGAATAAGAAGGCCAAATTGCTAAACTTGCCACCATAGTCGTGGTGGCAATCTTATGCTAGCATTCCAAGTGGATATCATGATTTTGTCACCATAGAAAAAGGGAGAATAGCAACGAAATTAGATACAGCAAGAAGAAACAGAGAGAGGTTCCAGGCATTAAGGGGGCAGTGGAAAGAGAAGTCCCTTCCAGCAGTAACATAAAATAAGACAAGATCAAAAGAGCTGCACGTAAAAACGGTGATTGTACGTCAGCATTTAAATGGGATGAGAGATTACTCTAGTCTGCTTGATCTTGAACCTAAGCTGGTTCTTGTTCTTTGAAATAAAATACAAGTCAAAAAGACAAAGGAAACGAAACAGAAAAAGGTATAAAGATCAAGGACATAGAAATGTTTGAGCACATAGACATAATACATATGAGAAAGGGAGGAACTGATTCTCATGAGGGAAAAAGCACAGTTATTATGCAGAACTCTTCTGATTTATATTAAAAAACTTTAATGGTAGTTCTAGATGTCCTGCTTTTTACTGCTTTCCTCATATTAGTTGTATGTAATTGCCATTCAAATTTCCTTTTTCCAGCTGTAATTGGCAAGTAAATTGACTAACTCCTAATGTGAACAATACAGACAAACAAATATTACTAAATGCTTCCAAAATAGCATCCTCTATAACTTCCAAGGTAAACCAAAAAAAGGGGAAAAGTAAAGACACAGTATTAAATTTACAAAAAAAAAAAAAAAAAGGGAAGAGTCAAAGACTGAAAGCCTTCATTCTTTCCAATTATAGCTTTCAAGTTACAATTAATTTTTATCTCACCCAGGAGAGCATCTATCTACACAAATTACAGAGTTGTGTATTTCTACCTGACATATTAAATAAAGGAAAACCTCATAAAAAGATTAGACAAGTAGCCCATATGCTACCAAATATACAAATGGAACCTAACCATACCTCCATCTCCCCCCCCCCCCCCCCTCACTCCCCCAAAATTATGTCTTCTAAATTATCCACCATCATAATCCATCCTTCTCCAAAATGAGATTTTAGTAAATAACCAAATATAACACTTGGGTTAAGAGTCAAGTTTGTAATTTTCTTACATCCACCCCCCCCCCCCCCAACCCCCTGGTGCCAAGTATCATATTCACCCTGAAATAAAGAGCCTTAAACACTAGAAGAAAAGCACCTACACATAATAAAATTAAAAGAATATATATAGAGGACTAAGAAGAGTCTATGTAACACCTGGCTAATAGGATTCCTAAGTTTCAGTGTTAGGTGCAGAAGGTCCCAAACTAGATAAGGCATGACAACTAAATCACCCACTTCCACAATGGCATCAGTGAAAAAAGACTTAGTGTTATTTCAGCAACAAAGTAGCTGACATGCAACCAAAATGTTTTGAGTCATAAATACTTCAAATTCAACATGACAGAAAAGCAGCGAGCAGCAGTCATGCATGCATCTTTGGACACATCAGACAATAAAGGAAAACATGCAGGAGGGACTGTTGCGTATATCACATCAGCCAATCTGCTGCTTTCTACAGTTTGCAGTGGACAACCACATCATTTCAAGAGAATTCCTAGTTCAACAGAGTATGAAAGAATTTATTATCAATATATGGACTAACTATCATCAATTTTAAAATAATCTACTCTTATGTAAGCAATATTTCCAGTTCTACTATTTTACATTTTCCCTTTTTTGAACACGAGAAATTTGGGAGAGGGAGTAAGCAGGTGTCTACAATAACTATGGCCTCTGAATTGAAATAAGGACCTAAAGGCCACTAAGTTATTAGGCTTAAGGTATGAACCATTAGGCCATAAGGGCCAGTTTCAATATTCCACTGAGTTCTAGATATTGAGAATAAATTATTATCATCAATATCTGGAACTCAGTGGAATATTTTCAGCAGACAAGAAATCGTCAATTCAGAAACCTAATCTAAATAATGATCCATCCATAATAAAAGGGAAAGATAATATATATGCACACAGAAGCAGCAAAACAAAGTGACTAAAACAGAAAAACCTTCAAGATAATTAACAAGAATGTACATGAATAAATAAATTAATTAATAAAAGGCGAAGGCCTACCCTCACACTGTGTGCAGTTGGCCAACTCATCATGTTAAATGCCACAACTGCAAGAACAATTAAGGTGAATACTGATATCAGGACCTCAAGATAAAGCCCATATCAAATATGTATTTTTTTCATCATCTTCAAAACCAGAAGTCAGATAGGATGCAGACCCAGCATATTCAAATGGATAGTATGGAATTTTAAATACTAAAACACAATTATATCACAAAAAATAGCCAAAAAGGTCCAAAAAAATTTTATCTAACATCCAAGGGGAAAGTTGCATATGGTCTGCCTGGTATTAGTAATGCTGAACCTCTCACTCAAACTCAATAAGACGAATATGCCACAACAGGTTTGACATTATGGTAACTTATTGTAAATAACAATTCAATAAATTACATAGAATCTAGTTTCTCTGCAGTATTAATTCTTCAACCAAGAACAAGAATAGCTATTATTAAAACCATCTAATTATCTAACCTGATTAGATAGAATGCAAACTTGAACCAAAAAACAAAGCAAACAATCAGAAATCACAGTTTCCATTTTCGGGTACAAAGAAAGAACAAGCAAACAGACAATCGGTGAAAGACTAATTCACCATTCCAACTACCCATTATATTATATCCTGGGAGAATTATATAGCCTTGATCTTAGACATGCAAAACAAGGTGTTAACTGGGAGTCAATTCTAACAGCTACATCAAACTCAAATCTGTAAATTTTTCTTATAAGTATAGAAAAATTTTCAGTCGATATATTCTTTTTCCCAAGTCAACCTAGGTTGGCAAGTTTGGCAAAATAAAACAAAAGCAAAACTATGTCAAGAAGCAGAATAGTGAATAAATTTAGAGGTAAAACAACTGCTCCACTTACATAGTTGTTAGTAGAGCTGGAATGACCTAAAGGCAGCAACCTGAGGAAGCATCCATGAATATGGACTTCATGGGGTAGATGAAAACTCTAGCCTCCCAAAATTGACAAATCTCATCAAGGCACTTTAATCACCAGTAATCACCACAAGAGCATATTCCATCTTGGAAGTGATGGAAACGATTCATATCTCTAATAACTATATCTCGCTGTAGAATTTTTGATATTAATTTCATAGTAGCATGACAATCCACACATATACGGAGATTCTTAATTATACGAATATCACTTCCAGGTGGTGTTCTAAATAGTCCAAAACCTAGGGCTAATCTTTCACTGTGTACCCACAGATGGCGTTCCTTTTCATCATCCTCAATGTCAATCAAAACAGGACTATAGTTGGGAACATAACCAGACTTCCTTGTTCTGATCCTCAAACACTCTAAGATCCCCTTTATCACTCTCATCTCAGGATGCGAACCATCCCCCACAGCAAAAGAATGAACTGTGCCCTGGTTTTCAATCCAACTTAGACCTGGTTCCTTCTTCACTCCTTTACTTTTCATACTTTTTCTAATGGATCTGACATCCTTCCAACTCCTTTCTGTGGCATATATGTTAGATAACAGTACATGGGTTGACTCATCCTGGGGTTCCATCTCAAGAATACGCTGAGCAGAAATTCTTCCAAGCTCAACATTTTTATGAATAACACAGGCACCAAGTAATGCACGCCACAACATAACACTAGGTTTACATGGGATGTCCTCAATCAACTTAACAGCCTTATCCAGATGGCCCAACCTCCCCAAAAGCCATACCATACAACAATAATGCTCCAAACATGGCTCAATGCCATAGTCCTGAACCATAGATTGAAAATAAGCTTGCCCTTGATCCAAAAGTCCAGAGTTGCCACATGCAGATAGCACACCCACAAAAGTTACAGTGGTTGGTTTGCACCCCCTTTCTTGCATCATTTGAAATATTTTTAAAGCCTCAACACCTAGACCATGCATAGAATATCCCGAGATCATAGCATTCCATGAAACTCCATCTCGTTCATTCATCATATCAAAAACTAAACGTGCATCTTTAATTCTTCCACACTTGGCATACATATCAATTAAAGCGTTACCAACCACAGTATTCTCTTCATAACTGTTTTTGACAGTTAAGGAGTGAATCTGAATTCCTAGCTCCAATGTGGCCAAACCAGCAGCAGCATGCAGAACACTAGAGTATGTCACTTCAGTTGCCTCAATGCAGTTTTCAAGCATTTTAAAGAACAAATTCAATGCCTTCTCTATATCCCCAAAGTGAATGTAGCCAACAATCATAGTGTTCCAAGTCACCTCATTTTTGTGCTGATAATCCTCAAATAGCTTTGCTGCATCCTTAATCCTCCCACACTTAGCATAGACACCCATGAGGGCATTCGAAACAAAAATATCAGAGTCAAGACCAACCTTCAGTACAAGGCCATGGATTTGCTTCCCTAGCTCTACATCCCCCGTGGTAGCACAAGCTTGTAGGGCACTTGCAAATGTGAACTGGTTAGGGGCAACAAAAGCTTGCCTCATTTTAGAAAACAGTTTCAATGCCTCTTCACTCTGGTCATTCTGAGCAAAACGTGAAATCATGAAACTCCAAGCAATTACATCTTTCTTAGGCATCTCCTCAAAAATCTTTTTTACATCACCTATGTCCCCATATTCAGTATACAACTCAAGCAATCCAACTCCAACATAAATATCTTGCTCATAATTTGTTTTTAAAGCACAGCCGTGGACACCTTTTGCCACATCAAAGGCCTCCAGTCCAAGACAAGCCTTAAGAACACCAGAAAAAGTAAAATTGTTAGGTTCAAACCCAGCCATCCTCATTCGAGAGAATAGCTCCATTGCCTCCTCAAAACAATTATTCTCAGAATAGCAAGCTACCATCCCTGTCCAAGTAACCATATCTTTGCATGCAATCCCATCAAAAATTTCTCTAGCACTATCAGTGGATCCACAAACAGAATATGCATCAATAAGTGCAGTCCCAACAAAAGCATTAGAATCAAGACCAAGCTTATAAATGCAACCATGAATGGTCCAACCAAATTCTGCCCACCCCATACTTACAAGCACCTTCAAAATAGAAGTAAAAACAAATTCATTAAGCTCATGACCTTCCCTATGCAACCTAGACAAAATCCCCACAGCCTCAACAAATTGTTGAGACTGCACGTACCCTTGACTCACTGTTACAAAAGACACCGTATTTCTTTCAGGCATTTCATCAAACAATTTGCTTGCATCAGACAAAAGTCCAGCTTTTACATACATATCCATGAGAATGTTAGTAGCAAACAAGTCTAAACAGTTACCCCTCTTTATAATCTCACAGTGAAGACCCATTGCTGTAATGGGGTCATCGTTTTGGATACAACGTCGAAGCAAAGCACCATATGCATGAGAATCGAACTCTGCGCTTGGAAACTCCATCGAAGTTGGGGTCAATATTGCCGCTTGCGCCGAGAACCAACATTGCGTAGAGCATATCCAAGTAGTAATCTTATGATGGGTGACAAAATTACTATATGAATGCAGTGTTCTAGGACGGAACAATCTGATCATGCCTACCAAGTGTAAAACAATTTTGAAGGAAATTTTCGGCGCAAAGACAAGAACGGCTCCTTTATATATATATTTTCAGAAAAATAGGATCGGAACGCAGCGTTGTAGTAATAAGGACAGTGTTTGGTTACTTGTTCAGACTTTAAGTCTAGAGACTGGTAATCTTATCAAATTTAGCTGTGGGTTAGTGAGATATATTTGTCTTTAAGAAAAAAATTATTATTAAAAATAAAGAATAATAACATAAAATATATTAAAAATGTGATATAAATAATTAATTTATGAATTTTTAAATAAGTTTAAAAATCTTTTAATATTCTATGATAAAAATATATAAAATATATTTAATATTTATTATAATTAACATTTTATATATTTTTAAAATAATAAAAAGATATAAAAATCAAAAATTAAAATACC